GAATGACATTCTTACAATATGAACTTTTTTTCCGTTTAATGCGTAATCAAATCCTTTATTTATAGCAATATCGCCTCTCTTTTTGTACTCTGTCTTCATTTGATAAACAAAATAATCAGATTTCCAAACTGCATTATAAACAATTGCCTTACTATTTAAATAAAGCACGCCAAAATTTGACAGAATGTCAGCCTTAAGAGTCCACAATTTTTTGTCGTCGCGTAGCCATCAATATGGGCTCTCCTTTTCAAAAAAAAAAAAAAAAAAACATGGAGATATGGAGATACTGTTCGTTATCTCCATATGTTTCTTTTATTCAGGAAAAGCGCCAAATATTAGATATGAGATTATATACACGAATTTTAAAGTCAAAATAAACCTTATTTCATCTTGGGAAAAATGTACACGTTGTCCTCCCATTCCCTAAAAATAATTTCAATGTTACTTTGGTTCTCTTTTACCCTCGGTTGTGCCATTTCCTCTACCCATAGTTTGCAATGTAGAGGAAGTAGAGTTTGTCTTGTCAGTGATAATTCTCAATTTCTGTCTTATATCTCCCGTGGCAAACTTGGCAAGGATTTGTTTTCTCTTGTTAGCGACTTTTTATCTATAAACATGTCAACAATATCAAACAATATATTGTGTTCAAATTAATCAACATATAAAACAAAATAGACTTAACAATATAGGTGATTCCTTAATAATATGCATTATTTGTTTCATAATACTATTTCTTTACTGTCTTGTTCAGCATCACTTGTGATTTTATTGAATGGCAGATTATGATCTGTTAGCTAAAACATCACTTAGCAAGTTGCTAAGAAGAACTTAATCATCTTACGTAGCTAAGAATATGCTTAATGGATTCAGTATATCCGTAAAAAAATTTCATGCCTTCGAATCCAGGTTTTTTTTCTGTTTGCCGACAGCGGATGTTCATTTCATTAACATCAGGGATAAAGTAAAAATGTTTCTTGTCTGAAAACCAGGCTTTGTATAACTATACATACTTTCACAAACTTAGCATTATTTCTCAGCCACAGGAGAACATAGGAAACTTAAGGAAATAATGAACAATATGCAAGATCAAAAGTCCATAAAACAACCGACCGGTCACACCCATCGTAAGTTTTTTAATCGGGATCGGGAAATAAAGGGAAAATCCGCCGTAAATTCAGTGTACCATAATTCACAATTATTTTGAAAAACGTCCGTCAACATTTGACTCAATTGTATTTGCTGACAAGGTTATTGTATCAACCACAGAACTAACGAAATGATGACTTGAAACAAGACTGATGCTATTCTTGTTTCATCAACATGTTTGTCAATAATTTACCTCGTTTTACAAATTGTTCATACGTTGAGCATGCACTTTAGTATCGAATCAACTAAGATATATAAACTCCATATGCAAGGGATGAATGTATAATTCTGCATAGTAAGGGAAGATCACAATTGGAAAGTTAGATTCATCATGTTTATCATAGAACTTGGTTGCTAGTTTTCCAATAAAGTCTTTGTCCAAATATGAAAGAGTTGTGTCAGACTCTGTGGTATCTTTTACCTCAAGCTCACCAGGATATATCGTATCGACATTGGAATGGAAATTGCCATTGTTAATTGACAATACGTCGTCGATATGTCTAAATGACGAGTTCAGGCCACAACAAGTGTTTCTTTCTTTTTACACATAAGATTTTGGACAAATTCTGCTTCATATGAATACAGAAATAGGTCTACTAGTACCGGGGCGCAATTGGTACCCATGGGAACTCCAATAGATTTTTGGAAGGCCTGGCCCAAAAGACAACATAGATATTGTCGATCAGAAACTCTTGCATCTTTTTACGTCAACTTCAGAGTACATGTGTGTTCAATCAGAATGTTTTTTTAACAAAATGATTTTGGAAATGTCCAATGGCAAGGTAAGTTATTTTACGATTTCTATTCTTATTGAAAAAGGAGCAGCTATCAATGATATCAAAAAGCCTGGACTTAAATTTTTCGTGGGGATTGGTTGTGTATAAAATTGAAAAATCGTAAGGTTTTAAGCTTTTGATTTTGGTAAAATCTTGTGATTTCAAATTGTCTAAAAGTTCCTTGGAATTTTTAAGTATCGACATCTAATTTACATTATTTCTTGAATATATTGTTGCACAGTACTCTTAAAGACATTTATAAAAGAGAAGAATTAATGCGCGAATCACGCCTACATCACCCTCCAGCCTATGTGTAGATCAACAACAGTGTCCACAATTATTAAACTTCGTGTCTACTACAGTAATGATCAGTATGTGCTCCTCCATGGATCCGAAACATTGAGAGTCACCAACACCACCTCCAACAAATTACATACCCTCAAAACAGATGTCTTAACATCAGATGGGCAGAAAATAACTTGTGAAAATCAAAAACCAAGACCCAATCACTCAGCAAATATTGGAAAAACCGAAAAAAAAAAACATTTGGAGACATTATACGCCAAGCGATTAAGTGAAACCCCAAGGCAAACGTTGGTTGGGCGTCCCAGGACAACTTGGCTGATGTTCATGCGAAGAATAAATCAGACATTGTGGAAAAAACTGTGAATAATTCAAAAACAGCTATCAATATAGAATGCGCTGGAGGAATATTGACCACCAGAAACCAAAAAGGAACTATGATTGTACGGCTGACATTCCTCTTACTGATTTGCTTAAAGAAAAATAAAGGAACAACATGTTGCTGTGCAATTTGTTATTAGTTTTTCACTTTAAAACATTTCATACGTTGACAGATAGAAACAGGAACGATTTCCAATCAACTATGACCGTAACATTATCGCAAACAAACACCATATGAAGATTTTTTACCCCTACACTTGTGTATTCTTCTCGGTATTACTACTGAAAGTGATTATGATATTATAAGCAGTCATAAGCATAACATTCACTATCAAACTGGAAAATGGAAAAATACATCGCTCAGTTTTAGTCCTAGACCTGGCCAACGTGTTGTCGATGATACTTTCATTTACGTGTTTGTGTTATTAGTCTTTTTTTTAATCAGCATACTCCCTCCAGGAAAATATTAGAGATTACAAAGACCTTTTTCGTTAATATATTTACATTTAACAATCCGATAAATTTTTTTCTCGAAACGGAAATCTGTATTTGGGTCTACTTGTAACTTGAGGATAGGGTTTGAAGGCGTCGTTGTAACCAATCTAATCTCGCCCAGCTAGGAGGTGTTCTGCAGGATGGATTGAATGAATATCTCTATAAGATAGAAATGCACTGTAAATAAATGAACTCCATGCAGAGGAGAATCAAGGTTGTAATAGATGCTCAAGAGAAATATTGAGAATTTCCATTTTCATTTAATGGGGCAACGTAATCTGGATTTCAAAATTTAATGAATTATCAGTCAAAATCAAATTAAATTTTTGGTAACATATTTATATAAGATTTGTTTAACTCTTAAACTCAAATACTGTAAAATACCTTCAAAATATAGTATTTCATCACTTCAAAAATTTGCCCTAGATTTTTCCTCTTTCAATAGATATATGTACAAAAATTGTACATAGATTTCAGTGTGGAAGAAAGTTAAGATTCCTTTATTAAACTATTTTACTAACATCAAGGTTCAAAATTTCGACTTATTCTCAAGACGTTGTATACAGCTATTACACTTTATATATTTTTGACATGATAGACAGCTGCTTGTTCAATGAAAAAGGAATTCGTAAGTAAACTATCCTTGTCATTCCAAAATTACTTTGTTAAAACATTCTGATCGTACAAATAAGTGTTCCAAAGTTGATATTAAGAGGATGTTTGATTGTTAATTGCGCCGTATAGTTCTACTGCACACTAAAACGTCATGTCAGGTCAAAGGTCATAGGGGAAAAAAAACTACATCCGGGCTCTTATGCCGGTAAATAATCGAATGTCGAAAGGAAGATAGTTTATTATAACCGCTCATAACACATTAATTAAGCACGTAAGTTTAAAAAAAATATATAGAAACTAGAGAAAATGTTCTAAGCTAATTATCAAGAGTTCAAGATTATAAAGTTTCATTCAATTTTCTTAAATTTGAGCTTGTAAAATAGGTGAGTGGAATTGTCTGCTCTTTAAACTTTACTTTCACTTTGCTCCTTTTCCGTCGTACGTACTAGTTAGGAATTTAATAAGCCACAAGCATTTTTTTTTGGTGACGGGAATTCATACTAATGTATATTTTCAGATATTCAGCGCTAATCAATGTCGGTAAATGTGCTTTTTGATGTGTTGTGTTTTTTTGCGTACGTTGTTGACAGTTTGTTACAATTTACAAGAGCTACTAATCACAAACTCTTTAAATATTATCATGTCTAAAAGAAGCTGTTGAGTGAAAGGATGTACAAACAGCTGGTATAGCTTACAAAAATGGAGACAAGAATTTTGTTCAGTTCACAATACAAATTATGGAACAGGGAAATGTATTTGTGAACCTCCATTTGTCCTTATTCCATTACCAACTGTGGCAAAAGACCCTCATGCAAGAGCTGTCTGGGTGAAAAATGTAAATCGTTCCTCAGGGAATCGTAACTGGGAGCCAGATTCCTACTACTCGAAGGTGTGCTCATACCATTTTGTAGATGGGAAACCAACTACACTTAACCCCTACCCTACTCTACACATGGGCCACTCTAATCCAATTCAGCAAGGAAGAGCTCCCCAAAAGAAAGAAATGATTTCTCTCAGGCAATCAAAAAGAGAAAATTTCAAGATGAAGTGAGAGAGAATGATGATCAATTGGAGAGAGATTGTTTGAAACAAAGTGTTTCTTTTGATCATGACTATGTTGAAGTTTGTAACCCTTGCATGTACAAAAGTACTGAAATTTTAAAACTTAAATCAAAAATTAAAGTTCTTGAATATGAACTCGCCAAATCAAGGGAGGAGAATCACAAGCTAAAGAGAAATACATTCAATGTAAAACCTACCAACATATTAAAATCTGACAAAAAAATGAGGTTTTATACAGGTTTTCCATCAATGAACTCATTCAATGCTCTGCATAATGCTCTTGAACCTAAGCTAAAAAGTGTGAGGTACTGGAAAGGACCATCCTTCCACTGCAATACACTGAAGCATAAGGTTTTCAAGAAATCTAGAGCCACAAGAAAACTGTCTACTAAAGACGAGTTAGTTTTAACTTTAATGAAAATCCGACTTGGGTTATTGGATGAAGATTTAGCAGACAGATTTTCTATTTCTGTGTCGTATGTGTCAAGAATCTTTACCACTTGGGTGAAGATTCTTAGCAAGTACCTCAGTAAACTAATTTTCAACCCTCCGAAAGAAGTGGTTCATGCAAATCTGCCCCCCAAATTCAAAACACAGAAATACTCATCAGTTCGACACATTATTGATTGTTCGGAGGTCTTCATTGAGAAACCTCATAGTATGATGGTTTCAAACCAGTGCTGGAGTGATTACAAACACCACTACACTGCAAAATTCCTTGTAAGTATCACTCCAGCTGGAATGATCAATTTTGTGTCGAACTGTTGGGGAGGTAGAGCCAGTGACAAATGTATAACAATTAACTCTGGCTTCCTTGACTTGATAGAGCCTCACGATAGTGTCATGGCAGACAAAAGGTTCAGTAGTCTCATGAAAGAGCTGACTCTTTCTCAAGCAAATTTGCTTGTTCCACCAAGAAGGCATGGTATTGCACAGATGACTGCATATGATGTTCAAAAAACAAAAGAAATAGCAAATAGGAGAATATATGTAGAACAAGCCATAAGACGTATTAAATTCTTTCGCTTACTGAAATTTGAAGTTCCTGTTACAATTTGTCAACATTTAGACGATATACTCAAAATTGTTTGTGGAATATGCAATCTTTATCCACCCCTCCCTAGGTATGATTGAAATGGTAAAAAATTGTAAATAAGCTATGGGGAATTTTTTTCAGAAACCTTAAGATTTTAAAATCTTGCAATAACATAAAATCAGTACATGACAAAGCTTTAATAATTGTAATATATACATTACATGTTTGTCAATACATTGTTGACATTGGTAATGTCATTTTCAGAAAGTTGACATTTTATTGTACTTATGCTTAAAGATAGTATACAATAGATATGACAATCTTCAAATTCAGTTTGAAATATGGCCTATCAGACCCATATAAAAATTGTGACATCAGACATTTGACCTGAGAAAGTGTATTCTTTTTAAAATTATCAATTTATCTATTACAAACTTGTGTGACTGTTTATAAGGCAACCTTTTTGTTACTAAAATTCAGTAAATATTTTAATACATGTACCAGTGTTTTTGAGACATATGTGATTTACAAATAAAACATACATAGTCCAGAAATGGAAAATTTACAGTTAAATATGCATAAACACAATCAAAAATGTAGGCTCCAAAATGACCGATATATATGATCCAGTGTCTTTAATTTTATACAAAATATGGCAAAAATATGTCACAGTTTATAATTTTTCTTACAAAAATCCTTGACAATTGAAAATACAATGACCTTTTCTGGTGTACTTAATAAGAAATGAATTAAAGTATTCCATGAGTGTTTTGTACTACCTTTACACGTAACAGCTATATACTAAAGTACATGTATATATAACTTCTGTATTCACATAGAACACTCACTACAGTACCAAGATGGTGTTTTCTTAAGTTTTGCATCTGTTAGATTAACACATTTAAAGTGGTACCAAAGACCACATAAATCACAACAAATACTTCTATCTTTTAAAGCAGTGACATTGTTAACAATGACTCGATTACAACATGGACAAAAATATGTCTCTCCTTCAATAATATTTGCATTTTCATCTACTTCCATTGCTTCCTCCACTAGTGATTTTTCTATACTGTAGGATTTTAACTCTGGCAACACAAAAGAAAAGAAAAAGTACTGAAGGCTTTTGAGAATATCTGTAAAATAGGTTTCATTGTACTCTATGTTCTCTGTGAAAGTACCATTACAAGTATAAACAAAAAAATCGCACCACTTTCTTCCAGTAACATGCATCTGTCCTTGAATTTGAGCAAAATAAGAGTGATTACTCTTTAACGACAATTCCCCTGACTTGTTAATAAGATAAACTGGTATTTTGCATGTACAAAATGACAAACATGAACTACATTTCGTTATCAATGGACACTTGATTTCGACACAGCCATCGCCACAGCATGAACATGAAACTAACAAATCTGGACTGGCTGCAATGTAAGTGTGTACAGAATCAAGAACAATACCACATTCATCTGATTTGGCATTCTTATGTGCTGTACAAAATTCTTTCAAATAAATACCCTTTGCAACTGGTTCCATTTCCCTACCATATTTTAGAGACTTTATGTTAGGATTCACTTTTGTATAACCCATAATATGTTTAACAAGTGGTTTAACGTCATGGACAACAGTGGGTTTATTATTGATTGAACCAACTTTGGTATGAATAGAATAAAAGTAGGAGGATGTCAAACGACCAATCCTCATATCATGCCATGTACTATTAGACGATTGACCTTTAGTACTGTTACTAATACATGTAATGGTAGAGGGAGGGATCTTGATGCTAGTGTCATTTTGTTCAAATGACGACAACATAGACTTCATGAAGTACTGTTGAACGTTGATCTGTGAGCAATCCTCCACAGTCATATCTGCTCCGGAAGCATGTGGTTCCTTCCCCTTGGCTTGGTGAGGTTGATCAACATCTAGACCTTTAAATTATATTAAATTAAATTATACCAGGTATAAAATATTACTAATATATGTAAATATTTATTATTTAATATACTTCTCTTTTCAACAATTTTCACCCAATGTGTAACTTAATTGAATAAATTCAAATAGTTGTCGATTCATCCTGCTGGTTATATTATTTTATTATTCATTGAGGAACCTTGTCAGATGATTGAGATGAACTATTCAAATTTTTGGGGTAGAGATTTCTATCAATGGTGAAAAAATAGAAACTTCATTATCAAAATAAATATATGTATATAATGTAGTACAGATTGAATTGTAATCTTTTACCTTTAAATAAACAGGCATCAGGCAAGATTTCTCTCAATGCATCTGAAAAGGTTGCTAAAAAGTTGTCCTCTTCATTATCCTCTGGCAGTGCATTGTAGTTTTTCCTGCTTCCATTTAGAGTTCTCGTTTTTCCTTTAAATAAATAAATTTATAATTTAATACTTGTAATACTGTACATATGTATGTAAGGTTACACAAGTGTCTACTATTCTTCTGTATTACAGTGCTGTTTAGAATGATTTGCAAAGAACATTGTACTTGATTTAATGAAAATTCCGTAATATTCATAAGATATAATATTCTTTAACTATTTTGTAATGATTCCTGTACCCCCGCTCAAAAAACAGGAGGGTATATACCGGGGTAGTAATTGGTATGTCTGTCTGTCTCTCTGTTCGTCCATCTGTTACGCTTTGAGGTACCCATCTCTTATCTACAACTCCTCTCATACTGCATAACGAAATTTTCACAAAATCTTTATGACATAATGCCATTGAGCACCCCCTATTTTACTTTTTGATCTGACATATATTATGGATTTTCCAGAGCAAAACATGAATACTGCCATTATATTCATATGGGAGACAGGGGATGTCATTTCGTGTGCTCATTGCTCACAGTGCCTCTAGTTTCAAATTCTTCTGAGACTGTTTTTTAAAAAAAAGAATTAATCCTATAAAATTTGTTTTGACCATTTTTACTATTATTAAGTTATTGAATTTAATACCGGTTTTTCCATGCTTAGCTCTCTCAAATGTCATGTCCTTCAGCATGGCTGGCTTTAGTGGTCGCTCTTTTGGTACAACCCATTCACATTTATTAGATGTACATGAAGTGCACCCCATCTTGTTGGCATATTCCACCCGGAATAGCAATCCTGCAACATGATTACATGTTTGTCCAAACCTATATTTGAGAGCAGAAAAAAGCATTAAAATACAGCTTTACTAGAAAAAAAATTCAAAACTGAAAGTAATTTAAAGTAATAAATTATTTTATTATTTTATGGAGATTCAGTGGGATAAAGAGCTACTGACCATGCAAGGTAAACTCAAAAGTATTGATTATTAAGCATTCAACTATCAATTGAGAAAAAAAGTATACTTTTTTCCCAGCAAATTACTGCGAGTAGTTAAAACACAATTTTAATGCATATAAACTGAATTGAACCTGCATGTTCATGTTTTAAGAGAAAAAAAATATAATTCAACCTGTATATCAATGACCTTTGTGTGTAATAGCGAGGTGGTGCATAGCACCACTGTATGTGTCTGCTTATATCATGTATATGTAATGCTCACCCTGCTGTACAAGTACAGAAAGCAGACTTGACTTTCCCCGAGTCTTTAACACAGCAAACCCACACTGTATGAGGTTCAGAACGCAGGCTTTTTGAGGGGGTACATGTGGCACGCAGGAAGCAATATGGGCTGGTCCTGTCAATAGGGTGGTAAAACACTTCTTTCAGCCACTGGCTCTGGAAGTACTGGTAGGCCTTCCCAACTTTATATTGGTTTAAATGTTTCTTTGCCCTCTCTTCTGTCTCATACCTTACCAAAATAATTACTCAAATAAAATTATGTGCACAAGTATTAAGAAGTGATGGAAAAACAAGCAAATGAAAGCACCATAAAGCTTAATGATCATACTGCTAGGCATACCTCATTAAAAACGCTGTTAAGTCGGTGATAAAAAGTGATGGCCAATTCTTCATCCCAAACTTTTCATCTTGCCAGTTTTCATATAACTGAAGTGGGTCTGGAAGGTTCATGTCGCCGAACTGTAACATTTCCTTGTAAGATTTTGAATTAACAATTTGCTTTTCAATAGACGTTTCCTGGGGTGGAATCTTCATAACATGTGCCGAGATGCCAACGCAACCATCTCTTGTTTGTTCCCGCCAATCGAAAATCAACGACATGATAAATAATTTCTCAGAGCAGGAATTTTCCAATGTGAAAAATCTTCTAAAGTTAAAGTCTTGTCCTCTGTGTCCATGGTGTGGAAAAATGAGTCTATATGTGTGTGAGGGTTTGTGTACAAGTCAGAATGTGTAAAAACGTATCAAAAAACCAGTAAAATATCGAAAAAGGTAACAAAAGTTCTCAACATCAACAAGTGGCGTCCATATTGTTTACGCTGTTTTTCCCCTATGACCTTTGACACGCATACATAAATAGGTAATTCAATATGGCGGCGCTCTGTGTGCAATAGAACTATTGTATGCAGACAAGTTACTTTGTTCAAATAATTCCGATCGTACAAACAAGTAATCCAAAGTTGATATTAAGAGGATGCTTCATTTTTAAATACGCTCCATTATAGACATATCTATTTTTGTATCCACGTGTAGTAGAATTCATTCAGAAACGTAATGCGGTTATTTTAGCACATGAAGCAGATGTGCTTAACTCATATATTTTTTTCTCATATTTGGGGATGAATCAAGTCGACAAATGAAAGAAGAGATAGACATTGTCAGCAAATACAATTTATCATTAAGTCAAATGCTGACTCACGTTTTTCATACTAATTGTTAGTTCATTATCTATACACTGAATTGACGACGGATTTTTCCGTTATTTCCTGATCATGACAAGATGTGATCGGTCGGCAGGGGATGCTCACTTCTCCATGGCACCTAATCCCACCTCCATTGTTTTGGAGATCCGTGTTTGCTCTTCTCCTATTTTGTATTGTTTTATGGACTTTTGATCTTGAATACTATTCGTTATCTCCATATGTATCACAAGAAGAAAGAATGAAAGAAGAAAGAAAGAAATGAGTCTTCTTTTTAAGAATTGTAAATTTCTTTATCCATAATTGACAATGTTCGAATCCCAACATTCCAATATAGCATACTTCCATGTATATTCCATTAATATGCATTTCCTTCGATAATGAAATTAACCATTTTTTAACCTCCTGAGCCCTCCATCTTATACATATTCAATTTCATACATGATATAGAAACAATAAGTTATGTTGCACTCTGCTACCACTGTGACTTTACTTGTCCCGAGCGACTAGTGTTCTAAAGTCCCTATCATAATCTTTCCAATTACCCTTTGCATCTGCTATTTCCCTGACAGCTTCTAAATGCTTTGCCAATATGGCTTGTTGATCGGGATATTTCATGCAATAAATTGCTGAAAATCTGTTCCATGCTAATCCAGTCATGCATGGAAGAGACAGATGTGTCATCTAATGAATCGTTGTCCACCTGGTGTATTTTCAACTTACCGGGACTGTCACCATCTTCAACTTGTAGAGAAAAATTACCTTTCTTTTGCTTGTCCTTAGACAGAAGTTTTACGAAGTCAACGTACTGTTTTGACCAAATTTTGGACTTGAGTTGATCAGAAACCCGAGCATTATTGGAACTGCCGTACTGACAAAATCACTGGGACTCTTACCTGCTATTTTTTCAGTATGGTTAATGACCAAGGCTTCAACCGACTGTTGGATAACTTGGTCATTGGGTGCACATGAAGCAGCCGATTCTTGCCCACAATTAACAGAATTAGTCATGTTTGGATTATTAATGACAGGAGCCCCCACAGTATTATTACTACATGTAATACTCCCCTAACTATTGGCTATGGTGCTGCTGGTCACATTGCTGATGAGCGTTGTAAGCTCCTCCCTGATTGTCGCAGTGACCCGCTGCGTGACTTGTCTAGTGATCGTTTCCAAATCGTCTGGGGATAGAGGTGTAGCTGTCGCCACAGGTTCCGTATTCGATACCTGTACCCGTCGTGTTTTGCTGTGTCGGGAGACAGGAATTGGTACTGCTCGAGCTTTGGTTGATTTTCTGTTAGGTGGAATGATTATAATTGGTGAATAGGTTACTGAAATACAAATATACTGCCTTTGGTTAGTGTATATAGTTCCCTTCTATTGACCGCTATAAATGCAGAAGGATAAAACGTACGCTCAACTAGGACCTCGGGTCCCCGCAAATAGTTCGTCATTTTGCGTAGTAATAAAACATTTTAGGAACTCTTCAAGCATTAAAGGCACAAAAGTAAATTAATCGATATCAAACCAATACGGAGACCTTAGGTCACCTCATACTAGTGTATTGATTGAATTTCATATAATAGACGGTTTTCTTTGTCTTATTCCAAAATAAACTAATGTATAACGTATTACAGATCTAATTTCTAATATACAATATATATATACAATATATATTCATGTATCAGCAGAAACGTGGATTTTTTTAGAGGGACAGAGGTCACCTTATCTTGTACAATAGTAGGGAGACCAGTGGTCACCTTATATTGAACATCATTAGAGGGATCATAGTTCACCTTATATTTTAAATTAATAGGGGGCCAAAAGTAACCTTTTATTGCACATATCATAATTAAGGGGGACCTGAGGACACCTCATGTTCTATATCATTTGTGGGACCAGAGGTCACCTTATATTGTACATCAATAGGGAGACCAGAGGGCACCTTATATTTTACATCATTAGGGGGACCAGAGTCACCTTATATTGAATATCAATAGGGAGACCAGAGGGCACCTCATATTGTACATCAGTGGTCACCTTATATTCTACATCAATAGGGAGATCATAGATCACCTTATATTGTACATCAGTAGGGGGACCAGAGGGCACCTTATATTGTACATCAATAGGGAGACCAGAGGTCACAATATATTGTACATCAGTAGGATGACCAGAGGTCACCTTATACTAGTATTGTACATCAGTAGGGGGACCAGAATTCACCTTATATTGAATATCGGTAGGGAGACCTGAGGGCACCTTATATTCTACACCAGTAGGGGGACAAGTGGTCACCTTATATTCTAAATCAATAGGGAGACAAGAGGTCACATTAGATTGTACTTTAGTGGGGGGACCAGAGGTAACCTTATATTGTACATCATAAGGGGAACCTGAGGACAGCTTATATTGTACATTATATGTTGGACCAGAGACATTAATAGGGGGACCAGAGGTCACCTTATATTTTTCATCAGTAGGGGGACCAGAGGTTACCTTACATTGTACATCAGTAGGGGGACCAGAGGTCACCTTATATTGTATATCAAAAATGGGACCTGAGGACACCTTATCCTGTACATTATTTGGGGGACAAGATCACCTTATATTGTACATCAATAGGGAGACCAAAGGTCACCTTATATTGTACATCAGTAGGGAGACCAAAGGTCACCTTACACATCAGAAGGGAGACCAGTGGTCACCTTTTATTGTACATCATTAGAAGGATCATAGTTCACCTTACATTTTAAGCAAGAAATCTGTGAGCCAATCTCACTAGGAATACCCCCACTCTGATGTGAATAAACACGATCATGTTAATATACACAAGTTGAATTACGGACATATGCAGAGAAAAGTATGAAATTGATATCAGATTTAAATCAGAATTAATTCCACCATATGGCATGCCTCAACAAAGAGTGTACTAAATTTTCAAACATCTACAATGAGTAGTTGCCAAGAAAACTGCGACGAAAATTTGTGTTATGTATGAAACAGACAGACGCACAGACAAAGAGGAAGTTGACATCGGACTTGACCAAAAATGTATCCTGTTGTATTGCATACCTCAGAGAAGATTGTGTTCAAATTTCAAGCATCTACAACGAGTGGTTGCAGAAAAAACTGTGACGAAAATTTGTTATGTATGAGACGAACAGACACACAGACAAACTGGAAGTTGACATCGGATTTGACAAAAAAGTGTATCCCTACATATGGCATGCCTCAGAGAAGATTGTCTGAAAATTTCAAGCCTCTGTGATGAGTAGTTGCTGAGAAAACTACAATGAAAATTTGGTATGTATGAAACGGACAGATGCACAGACAAGCAGGAAGTTGACATTAGGTTTGAACAAATATGTTTCTCATCGTATGACATGCCTCAGAGAAAACTGTGTTAAAATTTCAAGCATCTGCCATAAGTAGTTGCTGAGAAAAGTGCGACAAAAGTTTGTTACACACAGACGGACGGACAGAGAGATGGACGGACAGACGGATGGACAGACACACAAGGGTAAAACAGTATACCCCCCTCTCCTTCGGAGTGCGGGTATAATTAATAGGGGGCCATAAGTATTCTTTTATTACACATCATAAGGGAGACATGAGGACATCTTATATTGTACATTATTTGGTGGACCAGCAATCACCTTATATTGTGCATCAATAGGGGGACCAGAGGTCACCTTATATTTTACATCATTAGGGGGACCAGAGGTCACCTTATATTTTACATCATTAGGGGACCAGAGGTCACCTTCTATTGTACATCATAAACGGGACCTGAGGACAACTTATACTTTACATTATTTGGGGGACCAGAGATCACCTTATTTTGTACATCAATAGGGGGACCAGAGGTCACCTTACATTGTACATCAGTAGAGGGACCAGAGGTCTCCTTATATTGTACATCAGTAGGGGGACCACAGGTAACCTTATATTGTACATCAATAGGGAGACCAGAGGTCACCTTATATTGTACATCAGTAGAGGGACCAGAGGTCTCCTTATATTGTACATCAGTAGGGGGACCACAGGTAACCTTATATTATACATCAATAGGGAGAACAGGAGAACAGAGGATGCCTTATATTGTACATCAGTAGGAGGACCAAAGGTCACTTTATACATCAGAAGGGAGACCAGTGGTCACCTTTTATTGTATATCATTAGAAGGGTCATAGTTCACCTCACATTTTGAACTGATAGGGGGCCATAAGTAATCTTTTATTGCACATCATAAGGGGGGCCTGAGGACATCTTATATTGTACATTATTTGGGGGACCAGAGGTCAACTTATATTGTATATCAATAGGGGGACCAGAGGTCCCCTTATATTGTACATCAGAAGGGGTTCAGAGGTCACCTTATATTTTACATCAGTAGGGGGACCAGAGGTCACCGTATATTGTGCATCAATAGGGAGACCAGAGGTCTCCTTATATTGTATATCAGTAGGATGACCAGAGGTCACCTTATATTGTACATCAATATGGAGACCAGAGGTCCCCTTCTATTGTACATCATTAGGGGGATCACACTTTTTTGAACAACAATAAAGAAACCGGAAGACACATTATATTTTACATCAACATGGAGACTATGGGTCACCTAACATTGTAAAACTAGTAGGGAGACCAGGAATAACCTTAAATTGTTAAATCAACAGGGAGACCAGAGG